GGTAGATCTGGACGATGATGATGAGATTTATATTGACTGAGACAACCATAACTTGTTGTGTATGAAGTTGCTGTGCGTGAGCAAAGGGAATTGAGCCATGACCTTCAAATTTAACAAAGCTGCAGTAGAAGAAACACATCAATTCATTTACTGAAACGTCGATTTTTTTAATTAGATATAGCTGTAAGTAGAAAAGTTTTCTTTTGTTTTTCTTTTACTGGCTCATAACAAAAATATGTGTACAAGTCGATTATGTACAATGAAAAGTTGTGCATTAAGGTCGCAACTTTCATGAAACCGAAGTATGCCATTAGAACTTCCGTTTTGTACAATACATTTAATGCAATGCCGTTGGACAGCAAATTTCTGTTGTTTTCTCATTGCAATAGTTTATTAGTTATGTATTAAACAATCTTAATCAGCAGTTGTTTATTAGAGAAATCATAAGCAAATTCGAGAAAAGTCTGTTTTGAATATATAATTTTTAACTGTGGGCAGAAATGACGTCACTATTACGTACTATCTTCAAATCATGTGTGATGTGTTCGACTTAACATGCAAATACATCTCTCCTATCATAGATTGAGTCTATGAAAGTATTATTTCTTGCAGTATTTAGACAGTAACTCACATTATACTTTCAACCAGCGACCAATCTCATTATGCATACTACGCGAACGTTGAGGTCACGTGACAACTTTAAGCTACCATGACAACATTGCTATCATATATTTTTGAAATCTACACAAAATAAGCTTTAATTTGATATATGATAGCCTTTGCCACCCCGAATGGTAATGAAAAGTCACTTGGCTCATGGACTATATCATGTACGGCGACCGGCACGGCGACCTCAGTTCCAACATCTGACCTGGATACATCTCTGGTATAACCAAAGTTTTGTGACAGTATACCCGACAAGTTTTGTCGATGTTCTGAGGTTTGTTGGTGTAAGATCGGATTCTCGTATCATTTTTGTGACACGTACATAATACGCTTCGTCTCAAATCCTGCCGAAAGAAAGACTTTGCATGCCGTTGCTCTAATACAGTGTTTTTGTTATACACTCGGCACAAATCTACAGCTTTCGAAACTACCTTCATCATACATCTCCTCTATTTTATTTAGCCTCAGTGGAGAATTACAATACTATATATCGTCGTCGAATTCTGCGTTGTCCGTGTTCTTTGAAACAGATTGCAATTACCCAAGTGCAATTTCACTGCAATTTTGTCAGCTAGAATTCGAACGCTACTACGGGACACCGGATGTTATTGGTTGCAAACATTTTTGCCTGTGACTCGTAGTTTTTTGGCATTTTTTTGTCCTTCAATCCCCTAATCTCTTCTAGTTGGTCATCAGTTAAACTTAAAGATCATGTTTTCATTGTTGGAGGTTCGCAATCCATTTCCAAGTCACAACACGGAGAACACAGCGTTCTGGCGGTGTTGAGGGACGGTGGTTTAGGCTTGTGTGGCGAACGACGATCACCCAATGACCGACGCTCACAACTTGAATTCCGCTATTAACAAAAAGCAATATTATGGGTATATAATTTTTCAGATGTTTTTAATGTACTTTTTCCAATATTTTTTCAAAATTCAACCACAATATTTCCCTAAAAATGAATTAACACCATCAATATTTTGATATATATATAATTCGCCGTTTGAACACGATTTTGTTGGTCTGTGATTTTTCAACTCTGCATGCTGAAAAAGGGTAACAAAACACAACTTTTTAGTTGCGTTAAAATATTGAGGGATTCGATTATGTATGGTTCGATTTATGCTAATTGATTGGGTTTTATTTCTTGTGTTGTGGCGTGAAAATAGATTACATTTTAATCAGATTGTTGCCACACCTACCAAACAGAACTCATACATTTAATATTCATTCACACACTGTGACATTTACAGAAAGTATGTTTAATTTTTCCTTAGACGATTGTTCACAATTACAGAAATACATCATTACAGAGTATCAATATTGAAATATAAAGTTTGTGATAATCTTTTCAATATTCAATTCTATCAGGCATGTGTATGACTGCCATGACTGTTGCTGACTCATTACCTAGTATGAAATATTGTATTCCCAGCTCATTGATAAAAAAATACTTTAAAATTATAATCCAAACTATACCTATATACTCAAATAGTTGTGATATTTGTGGATGGGGTGAAACTTCGAATTATAATAATACCAGGATTAAATAGGCTAATTCGGTCATCCTAATTTATGCCCAAATTTAAAGTGCATCAAGCAGTGACAGTCTGCATATACACCACAAACTAATGTTTTAATTTAATGGAGTGCCTTCATTTCTGACGTCGAAGTATAATTTCAACTACATCGTGCGAATTTAATGCACAAACCACTCAAATTCAAATGTTATTCAAATCGCTTAAAATACGCTATTTTCTGCAAATGGAATATCTCTAACGCTTTTTCATATATTTTTATATCATAATACAGAGCATTATAAACTTCAGAATCTTGTTGTAACTGACTTTTAAGTTTTTTAACAAGATCGTAATGTGCTAGCTTCTTTTTAATATCCGTTACGCCCATTGTAGCAGATTCGACACGAAGCCCTTTACAAAGATCATAGAAGGGCAAATTGAATGCAGTTTGCAGGAGTTTTAAAGACATGTCGTATTCCTCAGTGATGGCTACAACAGCAAACCAGTCTTGTAAGTGTTGCAAGATAAAATCCAACAGGATGTCTTTCTCTTCTTTCGTCATTTTGTCATCTAAAAGAAGCTTATGCACATACCAGCAAGGCACGTGTTCTTTTTTATTTCCTTGGTAACCATTTTCTTTCAAAATTGGTAATATCTTAGAATTTAATGTTGACTGTGAGCAAATCTGTGCTCCGTTGTACATCAACTGCCTGAAGAAATAGCTTCCCTGATGCAATGCCCACTGAGAGACGTTTAATACCCGTGCATCGCTGGCAGTGCAAAGTGGGTCGCCCAGGTGTGTTTTACAGAACTCGTGACTGGAGACAATTCTTTCATATGGATCACGCAATAAAGTAAAATATGAACAAAGTGGCTCGTTGAAATCATCGCAAATTCCGAATGTGTTTTCACTAACATAAAATTTATTTTGAAAAACATTTTTACTGTTAAAACTCTGGATAAGTTCAGTTACTGCTCCGGACCAAATCCCCTTGTATGCCGGCAGATGGAGTTTCTTTGTAATGTTGTCGATGCATGCTTTTAATGTAGATCCTCCTGACTTTTGATTGTGTACGAAAACCAAAATATTCTTTGCAGACGTGTTTTTCGGGTTGGGATGTAAATAATAATTTGGGGTAAACATTTTCCGTTTCATCCAACTGTATTTTGAAAGGATGTTATCGAAAGTACTAGTTTCATTGGCTGACGTCACAGTTGATGCGTTGGAAAGTTTGTTCTGGGTGTTCTTCGTATTGTTAAGCGTTGATTTATTGCTATTATTAGCGTGGCGGAGTGTTGTATTTTCCGTTGGTTCATGAAAATAGTGAATGCTACTATTGCCTGTATTATTGGCATTCACATTGTCGATGGGCGTAGATGACAGTGATGCCAGAGTTCCGTTGATCAAACCAGATGAGTAGTCCGCTTTCCTTTAAAAAAAAAAGACATACGGTTATTATAAGTATACACATCACATATTGCAGCAATTCATTTAGAATATGATCATGGTATGATTATTCAGTGAGTATCATGTAGAATTACATTCAAAACAACAGTAGTAACATAATCAGCGGGCAGAGTTGTATAAAAAGGTATAGGTTGTTGAAATTTGAAGAAAATCGTTATACAAAATTATACCCGGATATATTTGGGAAATGTTAAAGGAAATTGTTTATATAGTATGTTTTTGACAGAATGGAAACTGATTGGTTATTAGAATAAGGAGGTGTCGAATTTATTTTAGCAGGTATATTGCTTATGTCGATAGCATGAACTTCCTTGCCATTGAAAGATAAAATGACGATGTTCATTGGCTTTCGTCGAACTCCCTTAAAATGTCGGTATGATAAAATCTCGCACAGTATATATGTGGATGTTTTGGAATCCATTTCTTGTAGTTTAATAAAAGGTACATATTCTGTAAATATTTTAGGGAATTTTATAAACGTTTTTATGATAGATAAAAGTCCTATCTTAACTGATGATTGTCATAACCAGCAATAATAATTTTAAAAACAAAGAAACAACCAATTTACGACATATTTCAATGCAACAAATCAGCAAAAGAAAGATATGGTATAGTTTTGGGCTGTAAATGAAGCTGCACACTGTGTTAATATTGTTTTGTGGAGATGTTCTACACTCTACATGACGAACGACTTCCCAACCAATCAACAAAGATGTATATATGAACGAAGTTGATAGAGGGCGCAATTATTTTCAAGGTGCATTCATAGTTCACCGGCGTCACTCTGATTTAGATTGTCGTAATTAAAGCTGTTTCAGTGTACCAGCCTGTGTGTCGACACTTGGCTAAACACGATGTGCCTCGTCAAGGTCACTTATTTTGATATAGCCTCCCCTTCCACGGTAATTAAAACATCTATAACAAAACAACGCAGTATGTTGACATAGTGCGGGTGCGTGTATAGTGGTAATACAAGCAGTGAATTCCCATTTTTGTTTCACCGTTATATACCGCATTGTTCGTGATATTATACGCTACGCAAACAATGCTACACAATATGACAGCCTGGGCATTACAAACATTTCTGCTGATTGAAATATACAGGCTGTTAATTGTTGTCATGGTCGCCACCGTAATAAAATAGACCTGCCTGTTTGACTCATACTGCGTATTGTGAAAGGTTTGAAATGGTGTTTGGTAGTAGCTGACTATAGTAAATTTGTATGTGTAGGATATTGGTATAACGCACAAATGCGACGAGTATATGGTATGTATAACCACAAAAATACATCGAGCCTCCGAACTTATTATTTATCAAACATTTACGTCCCTAGGTATATTAAGTAAACTAACTAGTGCATTAAATCGTTTCGTACATGATTAACAAATAAATCCTTAATAGATTATAACTGCGTGTGTATAAAACGTCGTCAGCAGTGGTATTACACACAAATGGTCACATATGTCAGCGTGATTTAATTCAATGTAATATATATTTTCAAGTTGACATACGTGTTACAAAACAAAGAAACAAACGCATTGCAGATAAAATGCTTAAAACAGACGTTATATTTGAAGCCAGAGTACGTCAGATCATAGAGCATGGATTTACTGTCTATACCAATGAATGAATGAGTTTGTGGGTCGATGGTTTAGTGAGTGGGTGAAGGAATGCGTGAGTGAGTGAGTGAATGAATGAATAAATAAGTGAGTGAAGGAGGGATTCAGATAATATAACACGTTGAATGGATGAACATAACACAACTAAATGCATACATACCCTTCTTTAAATATTACAAGCCGGTTTTGATAATATAGCAAAGTGAGAATAATTCCTAGGACGAGTAATCCAAACACTCTTCTAGGATATAGTGCAACCATAGCGGAGGTGAGACCTGCTTTAATGGCAGATTGTACGAGCACACATCACTGCCATATGGAAAGGCAATGTCAGCCGTGCACATTACAAACAACTAAATCTGCACCAACGTGTTTTATATTATAATAAATATTCGTCATGTGATCCATTATTTAGATAATGCGAAGAACACAATATCGTGTCACGCATAAGTTACAACAGTTGGTTTACTGCCACTACCCGAAAGCCTGACCATGGCCGATCGTTTATACTCCCATAAGTCGGCCTGTTTCTTCCTAAAACCGGGAATATTTATGTTTTCACTCGTTCAAAAACAATTCCCAGAACACGTATTTTGCAGACGCAGTGTCATTAGAGACTAGGCATTGTCTTCTACCTGGGTGGAAGGGGTATGGGGGAACAGGCATGTAAAGCTATTTTAGAGTACGCAAAGGGGATATGCTATTTCGCTCTTTCTGGGTCACAAAATTACTTAACGACCATTTGCTTCTGTATTAGTTTGCTATGCACTCGTTTTTAATATCATTAAAACAAACATAGGACAATGGCTCCAACAGTTTTGTTGATCTACAGTAGTTGAGCAAACCTTTCCAGTGTCAACGGCTTTGTAGTCATTGTCCGCTCAAGTCTTCATGAAACTCTATACCTACGTATTTATAATATGCCACCGATTCAATTTCCTGTCCTCGATAACACTATTCCGCGCTCTTACGTATATTTCCACCACCTTTAAAAACAATAATTTCTGTTTTGTCTAAATTTACTCGCATTTTCTAACGATCGAAAATAAATACAGTTCTAACTTTATTGAGTTGTGTTCGAGGGTCAATGATTGAATCTGATAATAGTGTAACATCGTCAGCAAATAAAAGACAAATAATTCAATTATATCTGGGGCTAATTGAACGCCTTGTTGGCTAGTAGCCTTGAACTCATTTATTACAATTAAAATAAAAGTGGGATCTGCATGCAACTATGAACTAATGGTGCACTGGTAATATGCTGTATGGCTGTTGAAAATTCTTACACATGATTTAACATTAGGATAAAGATTAAATATATTAAATATCTTCCAATTTACACCCCCTTTGAGAAGATACCATATAATGTATATTTTAAAGTATTTGACACAGTGGTTCTTTCAATATTGACGTTTGGGGCGGAAGTACGGGGCTACCAAAAGTTCTCTATATGCCTATAGTTTATTCCTTGGTGTTCCGGCAAAGACGTCTATTGCAAGGGTCCTCGGGGATTGCAGGAAACATCCGGTCGTTCTTAACACAGCAATGCAATGTATTAAATGTTATATGAAATTAATATGCATACTGAATTCAAGGACAAACATTATGGTATGCTATATACGGGAAATGTTAATATTCAATATAGAATTGGTACAAAATAATAGCATATATTATTTAGTCCGAGGAAGCTGTTAATATTTGATATTATAGTATTGGCACCAGAATAGCAGCATGTATTATTTAGTTCGAGGGAATGGGCGCTGCTAATGAATTTACTATTCAAACAGGCACATACAAGAACATATAAACATAGAACACGAAATCAGCAAATGTGCCTCGCCACTGTAAGGAGACCAACTAGCTAACTCTGACAAACATGACAGTAAATACACTTGCTTGCTTGAACTGGAATAGTAGTCTCTCCAAAATCCGTGCATGAGATGCAGTGTGATCGAAACGTATGTAGATAAAAGAATAACAATCAGAAAACAGGAGGGCTGCTTCGCCTCTAACCAAAGCCAAAACGAGCAATGTATTGAGCACCAAATGTTTAGTAGTGCTGATTTTTGCGGCTCATATGAACAAGTAAGACCAGACTGTTGAATCTGAATCTGGTGGCTCTTTATGACAGTGCTTGGTTGGTTGCTGTTGTGAATAAAAATGAAAAAAAAAATATCTATCTCTGGATTGGTTCCTAGGTCAATACCGGTGTAATCACAGACTACTGGCCCCAGGCTAGCCATATATCCTATGATTGTAGTGAGGATGAGATTTGAAATGAATCGTCAAAAATATTCTCTTCCAACAACAAACACAGAACTGTCTATATCCACACTCATAAAATCGGATGGTAGTCTCACATTTGTTTGCAAGTATGCAAGTCTAACCCCTACCAGGTGATGGGCTTTACCTCTATTGCCCACTCTGTCTCTTCCATCAGCTGCCTAAGCATGGGTGATTTTGTCCTCCCATGTTTGTAATATATGCCAGTACATTTTTATTCTGTACCTCGTCTAGAAAGCAATCTAGTGCCTATCTAGCTGTGCTTTCCAAGGGGAACACTCCTCATTTCAAGGCGTCTATGACCAATGATATGGCCTGAGTTGATGGGTCAATCTGTGATCTTATGTTGCTCCATCAACTTGAGGGCAGCCAGGCTTTCTGGGGTCCAAAATATTTTCTCCCTCATGTGGCGACCCTAACCGTAGGGCTGTGTCAACATGATGATGTGATAAAATCAAATGAACGGTGCAAGATGCCGCGACATCCTGGACAGGCACTCCCAACGAGTCACAGAGCGATAAGCTAGCTAGTAAATAACCACACTTTCAATATCAATATTAAATCGTCATACCTCGCAACTTCACCGAACAGTTTTGATGCACTAATACAATTTCAATCGGTGACGGATCTGCTATGCACACTATCACAGTGTAAGGCCTGTTTATTGCTTATGAGAGGGCACATGAGCCAATCAGAATTTGGTCTTACTAGCAGCTGTCTCACGTAGGAAACTCAGTAGATGGTAAACATCCTTTGTTATGTAAATAACAAGCACACCTGGTAGATTTCAATTGTCCTTCCAAAGTTGTAAACACCCAGCTGCTGGTAAGACCACATTCTGATTGGTTCATGTGGAAACCCAGGCGGTGTCCCTGAATACGGGCCAATTATATCTATAAATTGGACAGTTGGATCCATCATTTCTACCCTGTGTGTTTCTGTTGCGAAATTGTGAGACAAGTGCTACAGCTTGTATGAACTGCTCTGCGATCTCCTGCTTTCAGCGGTGCCCATCCAGAATAACAGCATTCCTCTGCAAGCAAGACACCTGTATGTCTTCGTCGTTGTGTTGCAGAAGCCCATTGACTGTCATCCATCTCTACATCCTGGTACTGTGAGTTATCACCAATGCACACTTTCCTAGGCAACCCCCTATTTTAGTGAATTTATTCATTGTATCTTTATGTGCATGTTTCTCGTAATTATTTTGAGAGGTATTAAAGCCCTGCTCTCTCATTAGCAATACGCAGACCACAGACTGTGACAGACTGTCAGGACAACTGATTTTAATACCCCCGAAGTTAACGTCACTGTGCGTCAAAATGATGACAATTCGATCGCAAAAGATGCGCAAGCAATGAAAATATAAATTAAACATGAAAAATGACTCCAAATTATATACAAACTGTCCAGAATTATTTAGAATTATGAGATTCAATTTTCGCGTGTACCAAATTAGTCCGAGCTGTTGCCCATCATTGTTACGCGAGTTCCGCGAACTTGATGTATAGGGTGCTCACATTACCTGGGGTCCGAGCCTAGCTTTCCTGTGTAGCGCTCTGGAGATCAGTCATAGGTTAGTTTCCCAGCTGAAAAGTTCTTAAAATGTGCTGTATACTTGTGGGATTAACAGACGTATGTGTGTGCGAGAGAGTAAAACGGGGCGATGTTGACTGTTTCAAACCTAAAGATGAACTGGTTTACTTCTCAGTAATACAGAGATAATTAACATGTGTTGTTTATAAAGCTGAAGTGAACAACTAATACGTAATCCATCTACGAATACCAGCCATAAACAATATGTGGTAAGAGTCTGTTTGATGGCGGCAGCGTTTGAAATAATACAACAGCTACACAGATTTTCCGACAATACTATGTAAGTGGTAGGATATTGCAGAAGCTATGTTTCGGAATGAAGATGGCATCAAAGCTTTTGGTCAATGCGTCTCAACGCTTTAGTATTCAAGCACTATGACATTGGAGTACGTTTTTAAAGCAATCCTGCAATGGCGGAAGTGGACAATGTATCATCGTACGTTGGTGTCCTGCTTAGTGCTGCAAGGCCTGAATACCACCAAAGTCAGTCATTCTCGTTTATTTGAAAAAAAAAGTTTACCAAGCGTCATTGAGCAGTCAATTGTCTTGATGCTTTAGTGTTTTGGTATAGAATAACCATTCTCGCCCGCCAGAGTATTTTTTCCGCCCACTCAAAAAAATAAGGCAACCATCGGTTGCCGAAAGAGGGCGTGGTTTGCGACGATGAGAATAACGGGCGCTCAATACAACTGCCTACAATATGTCAATTACAATTATATTTGCATATAAGCGGGACTACTTGGCCAATTTAAGTGCACTACGACTGCCACGTGACCCACGGTCTCCTCCCGCTGAAAAGAACTCGAGCGATCTCGTTCAAGGTCGTCGTTGTCGGTCAGTCGTCTTGGTTAGTCGCTGTTGTCCAACGGCATGCATCTCCAAGCGTAGCCGCGGGGCTGTCACGTAGCAACCAACTTATGACAAAATATTGTATTGTATCTACCAAATGAAACCTTCACAATAAATGGCGTATATTGTCAATGCAACCATACTGTGTGTCCAGAATGAATTCCCTCAACCGAGCAAAAAACAACCTATACAACTCTGTGCCAAGGGACTAATCGGATTAAAATCTGATGTATTGTACGGCGTGAATTGAATTGAATTTTGTTTTATATATTTTATTTTTACTATATGTATTTTTTTATTTTGTAATTATTATTATTATTACATACATCTTATTTTGTATTATTTAACTAGAATCTTATTTTAATCAGATTGACAAGGGGTGTGAAGCAAATGTAGACAAGATATATATGAAGAAAGCAATGTTTTATTAATAAAATTCATACTGGTAATATTAGTAAGTTCATGGTAGCGGGGAAACAATCATGTAAAATTGGGCCTCATTATCATGGTAAAATTACACAGTGGGGAATATCGCTATTTGGGTAATGCTCACAATTTCAGCAAACAACTACACGCATTTAATCCAAATTAGTCTGGAAATATAATAG